GATCACTGATCATCTTCAAACTGCTTTTATGCAATTGGGATGGAAATAGAGAAGGCATCCATCTCCAAGCTGATGTTCTCAGGATTAAAAGAGGGGAATGATGATACTCTACTGGGACCATTACAGTGGAAGTTGCAGCTGAAGAATCTGGCAATGTAGCAATTAAAATTGCAGTGAAAGGACATGGTTGTATGCTGGCTTTAGCTTGTCAGCACATCCAAAGACCCATTTGGCTCTCTTTCTCATACTTCATTGCAAATGAGTAAATGGGCTTTCAACCCATCATGCTTGAAACCACTTTCAGAGACAGTATTCAAACTAATGTTGTGCCAACATTTTCATCAAATCCCCTTTCCCACAATTCATTTGATGGGGAGACAAAATGCCTTCAATATATTCTTTTGCAAAGGAGAAAAAAAATGTTGGTAGGGAGTTTTTGCACAACCGTGAGTTATGAAGTGGCTAATGAACAGAGTTCTTGTTTAAACTGTATAATCATATTCCCATTGATCTACAGCAGTGGCTGGCTGGGGAATTCTGGGAAACATGGCTGGCTGGGGAATTCTGGGAGTTGAAGTCCACTCATCTTAAAGTGGCCAAGTTTGGACAACACTGATCTATAGCCTAACTGGCTTCGTGAGCTTCAGTTAAATCATATGAAACTTCTCCTATGGATTTTTTCACTTCATAAAGCCATCCTAAGACACATGTCCAGAATGACATGACACATTTTGGGGGAGGGGGGGAAGCAACAGCATCCTCAACAACCTCAAATGCTAAAGCTCAAACATACCACCAGAAAGCATCAGAAAGACAAATGAAATGCACTGTGAGAATGAGGTAGAAAAATAGAAGACTTTTTCTAGGAGGAAGAAAACTTCCAGGAAGTTTTGGAGAACTGATTCAGCATAATAATAATTTCAAGGCAGCCTTTCATTCTCCTGCCTGCTCAGTCAAACTGAAGGTGGTGCTTTCCCAACCTGAGCAAACACTGTAGTGAAAGGTGGAACCGGCTTTTTCAACCACTGCTTTAAACTGTGAGCCTAGACTCAGACTTTTTTGTGGAGCAATCTCACAATATCAAATATCCTTGATATTCACCATTGATATGTTCATATTCTCAGTTATTAATAATTACCAGCCATGAAACTATTGGACAAATTACTGATCAAACTTTGTACTTCTCAAATGCACACTGTAGCTGACTGGGGATGATGGGAGTCATAGAACACCAGGTTGAGGAAAGTGATATATTAATCAAATATACATACATACATACATACATACATACATACATACATACATACATATAACCTCAATAGCTGCCATGTTTCTCAGATCACAGCTGTCCAGAGCCAAATCATGTTTTTCATTACTTAATCAAATCCTAGGAGACTGATGTATTTGGTGTGATTTGATCATCCATGTAACAATTCAGATCCAGATTCCTGTTTTAGAGGACAGAGAACTATCTAATCAGTTCCTAGGCTAAATTATCCTTGTACAAATCAAAACCAAGTCTACAAGCCTTTCCCACTGCTAAGTTTAAGTGCCAGTCATCCATCCTTGAGTTGGCAAAAACTAGACTGGCATATAGAGCCATCCACACAGAAGATCAATGGCAAGCACAACTTTTAACGTGTAAAAAGGGGTGAGGTTTCAGGCACCCAATTGCACCCATCCCAATGATATGCTGGGTATCATTGACTGCTTCCCCAGCAGATGTCCCTGTTGGTTTGTATCTTGTCTCTATTGTTTTTGTTCTGACTTACTACAGAATGGCACTGTCTTGATTATGCATCTAGCATGGGCTAGCAAAAGGATTGATTGATTCTGCCACCTTCTTCACATCCCCAGCCCACAACCAAGGCAGCTTAAAGTCATTTTCAGATGTTCTAGTTTAATAGTGTTTTCCCTCTGACTCTGACACAATTTTTGTTATGGACATATCTAGCGTGCTTCATGGATGATATGGTTGCTGATATGGTCAGGGCTGGGAACTGCCCATTTCCTGGTGGCCACTTTAGGTTGCTCTGGGTGCATCTCTCCTGTCTGCTCACCAGGAACTGCCTACTATGACCATTTTGGCTTTGGTTTCGGGATCAAGAAGATACTTGACGTCCTCAGAGGCTTTTGTCCAGTCAATGCTTTGTCAGGTATTATGCAGGTTCCTTATATACACAGGTTTAATGCTCTTGAAAGAGATAGATTGACCTTTAAAAACAGGATTAGCACTCTCTTGAGGGTGCTTTCTTGAGAAAGTGCTAGTTGTGTGCTCTACTGAAGGTTGATTCAAACTAAGAAAGAGAACAAGGTTTCGTGCATTACAGGTTTTATGCTTCTGTCATTGGGGTGCATGTATGAAAGGGGAGGGCTCATGTAGTGATGTCATGATGCACTTTTTACAGTTTTAAAGTATCTAATGTTATTTAATACATGAGGAGTCATATTAACTGAATTTAATCATAGCTAATGTAGTGTAATTAATTAAATGCAAATATAAGTATAGGCCCTCAGCCATATCACTCAAAGGATAAATGTAGTCTTCAGCTCCCCCCCCCCTTCGTTCCCCAATTTTAGATGATGGATTAGATTTTGAAATCTTCTTTAATACCTATAATTGGATCTGTATTTTCTATATTCTCATTTTTCTGAGTCCATTGAACTGAAATTTAATATTGCTTTGCATTCACTAATTTGGGGAAAAAGATATAATTTGTATCAGAAGTTATTGCTTTAGTGCTTTACCATTTGCTAGAAAAAAAAATAGATAGGTCCTTTGTCGCATTTTAATCATTCATGTTTATTTATTTCAAAACTGTAGCTCTTTCATCCTCTAAAAATCGTTTTAAGGGTTTCAGATCACATCTTGATGTTACTTTGCTTATAATGACACCTACTGGTTAGAAAAAGCTAAAAAGAAACTTCTGCCTCCATAAAATACAGTACAGTACCATAAATCCTTTATTTTTTTGCCTCATTATCTGTTGAGTTTTATTCATCCTAAATTAACAAAGTACTATCATACCCAGTTCAGAATAATGATTGAGAAAAACATGTTAATGTAAAAAGTCCTGATATAATTAATCCATTTGTTTGTTTGCATAGAAGATACAGACACAGTGGAAGTAGCATGGCCAGTGTCATTGCAAAGGGCTTCAGGGCAGGGGTCATCTTACCCTGCTCCCACCTGTTTCTCTATTTTTTACTCCCCTTAAAATCATAACAATGGGGTTCCCTGAGAGACATGTTTTTCTACAGCTTCTTTTTGACCTGGGGAAAGAGGGAGGTTAACTGAACCCACAATCAGCACTTTCCGTGACATACGTGAATGGAAAGAGTTAAACCCTATGTATTGACTACAGTATATTTTTGAGAGTTCTATCTAGCCCTCTTTTGGGTTAATTGATTGGCCCCACCCACTTTCACATTAATGTGAAAATTGCATAACTGCGTTTATGCAGTACTGGAAGAAAACTCAGATCAAGGCTATCTGCATTTATGGACGTCTGTGCTGAAGTGAGCTCCATTACATTCAGTGGAAGCTTTGCAGAAAAATGTGACTAGAATGACACTCTCAGACTAAAATCCTATGTATAGTCATCTATGGATGTAATCTCAACCAAAAACAAGGAAAATAACTTCTAAGTAGCCATGTATTACATTAGGTTTTTAAATTTAATTGTAAAATTAAACTTAATCCCATTTAAGACATAGTTTAAGATTGGATCCAGTTTCATACACCTTAAGCAAATTCTAAACTAAGAGCAACTAGCTTATCTTTCCACATGTGCAAATTTAAAAATCAATTTAAACACATGTAAGTTTCAAAACATTAAAACAATTAACTTTTATTTGAAATAACTGCTAAACACACTGTTAGAGGAAAACTTAATTTATTGTCAATAAACTATTTTTTAAAAAACATATAATGTAAGAGCATAAATCAATAATCTTTTATTTACTCCTTCTTGCTAGATGCAAAATTTCTTCTGAATCCTTAACAATGCTTTTATGCAATTATTTAAATAACATGAAAATATTAAGAACTCTAGTTTTTTAAAAAATGAAACAATGCCGTCTCCAAACGGTTTCAATTCACAGCCTTATTTACAAATACCCACACATTAACATACAGATTATATAATTCAGCAAGCACATATCTATCCAAGCTGCACTTCTGAATGGAATCAAAAACCCATGTCATCTCTGATAAAAAGATTTTAAAAACAAACATGTTGACATCATTATGTCCTCAGTTCTCTGGATTTTTTTTTTTAAAGTGAGTCCCCATTCTTGCTTTCTGTCTAATCAGCTGAATCATTTCCCATTGATGGCACTCAGAGGTCAGGTACCTCATTAATTTCTTTACATATCAACAATTCCTAGGATGCTTTGTAGAGAAAGGGCTAGAATCCCAGACTGTAAGAATAGATCATTTAATCTTCTGCCCCTAGTTAGGGCATTTCATTCACAAACCCTAAGTTATATCTATACAACCCTCATCACTACACTTAACATGGTACATTGCAATCAAGTAACAGCATGAAGCTCATTCAGACCACAAAATCCAATATTAATTTATTACCTACAAGTTGGAACAAAACTGATTGACTGTATCTTATTTATTGCAATCCCAATAATATGTTATTAATTACATTCTTAATAATAAGTGAATGCCTTGCCTCTCTAACATAGTCAAGTCGCAAGAAAACTCTATTATTTAAAATAACAGAAACAAACAATCGAGGAAAAATATTGTATCAATAAAATAAGCATTATACCCTGAATTCGATGTAGGTATTTTAGTCCCTGTCCTATTTCTCCTTATCTTCTCACTATTTCCATATACTTTGCATTTACTGTCATTTTACAGAAGCTCTATGTTTTTATTTGGGATTTATGTTTGTAGTGGGAAAATTGTCCTATTCTATTCTATTCTATTCTATTCTATTCTATTCTATTCTATTCTATTCTATTCTATTCTATTCTATTCTCAAGTCTATCAAAATTCCTACACTTTAAAAATGAAAAACATTGCCTCCAAATTAAAATGCATTTTTTTAAAAAAAGGGCAATATTTTAAATGGGTTTTGCATCCAAAACAGTGTCAACTACTACTGCAAATTATCTTTCCTTTAATTTCTTCTTACTTCCCGCCCCCTTAAAGGCTGTGGTGGTCTGAAGTTTTTCAGCATGCAAAAGGCATTCTCTCCCTCACCAGTGCACAGGAGGTTGCGAAATTTAGCCAGCTGTGGATGAAAAAGGTACAAAATGCAGCAATAATTAATACCTTAATGCCAAAACTTACTTCAAGTGTACATAATTTTCTTCCTGGTGACATCTTGATATAAACCTGTGCTTTTTTATCAGCAAATTAGTTTCTGTGTACTGAGCACACAAAGACATACTCAGCAACTGAAGATGTGCCCACATGGTCAATGAATGATGACCTATGAAACAGTGCCTACATAATATTTATAAAGATCAAACGTAACATACAGTATTTAGTAATTTGCATTGTAACATTTAAGCACTCTGAATATGTATAAGGCTCAGGCACACCTTTACTATCTTCACAATTTTGGCAAGCCACCTAAATAAGATGAACTGAAAGAGAAAACAGGGGCTCTTAATTATGTCTGCACCTTAATGGTTAATATTGATTGATTGATTGATTGATTATGTGCCATCAAGTCGGTGTTGACTCTTAGCAACCACATAGACAGATTTTCTCCATGACTATCTGAATGGAGAACATTGGATTTTAATAGGTGATCAATGTAATCTCCTAATATCAGAATACAATAAATGGCAGATATTCATATGAGAACCCCTTTAAAAAGAGAGGTTTCAAATGAGAAAGCATTGCCTCTGCTTGGAGGCAAAACATACCTGTTCAGAGCAAACACTTATAGGTTCCCTAAGAACGATCCAAATGACACTCTCAAGAAGGGGAGGGACTGTGAGAGACCCAAGGTATGTCCAGTAGTCCAGAGAATGAGGGAGCAGACAGGAAGGATCAAAATTGGTGAACCTGTGCTGTTTACCCTGAAGGAAGGAAGGATGGAAGGAATTAGCAAATGTCCCCTTCATCCTCATTGCTAATAAGTGTGGCATATAACTTCCTCTGTTGATTCTTCCTTCTATGACAGGCTTCCTGCCTCCAGGATATACTTTTCCTTCTCCACTTTTGGTTCCATGAGCTTAGAGAGATTTATCCTATGGTTCTTTACACATAGTTACAGCTCATTCCCAACACTAGTTGCCCTTTCTCAAATTCTAATGCTTGTAGGACTACCAAATCTGGGCTGCAAATATATAGACAATCACTAGAGGACACAATTAGGATTTTCTGTATCATCTCTGCTGCCACCCAATGGTTGTCCAGATTTTGCTGCCAAGATCTGGTAGCCCTAAATGCTTGTACAGGTAGTCCTCATTTAGGACTGCTTTGTATAGTGACATTTGCAGTTACGACAGTGACGAAAAAGTAACTTGTGATCTATCCTTGCATTTATGACCTTCGCAGGTCTGTAAAGCAAGGAAAAGCTGAAGTAAAATCATAAGCACAATCATGGTTTCACTTAGCAACTGCTTTGTTTAATGACTGAGTTGCCAGTCCCAATTGTGATTGCTGAACGAGGACTACCTGTAAATGGCAAGAGACAGTGTGCTTGTGTGAGGTTTAAAGCACTTCGATTGTATGGACAACCCTAGAAAATATTACACAGTACTGTATTAAAACAACTGAGGGGAACTGGAAAGTAAACATGTAGACTTAGTGTCCTGATTCATCATTCATATTTGTGGAATCTTCTCTGTCTAATGCTGTGTGTTCCACACTTCCAGAACTCTGTGAGGTAACAAAAAGTATAGACAGGTATGCCTTTTATTATCTGAAATGGTTCAAGCCCAATAAGAATATACAGTATTGGAACCTGGTCTGCCTTACCTTCACTTTAATGGTATCCAGTTGGTCTGTGATTTTTTTCAGCTGAGAATTGCATTCACCCAACTGTAAATATAAATGTACGGTCATTTCTTTTGCTGAGGGAAAATGGTTTTATTGGTTTTAAACTTTATTTATTGGTTTTTATCATTAACTTTTCCAAGCAGAATGGTTACAGTTATGTGGAATATTTAAAAAAAAAATTTAAAAAGGAGAAAAATAAACATCTTAAGAAGATATATTTTAAAAAAATAACCATGGTATATAAAAGAAAATTCTAGTGTTTAAAATGTCAAAATGCCTAAGAAAAACAAGAGGTTTTATGGGAAGCTATTCTATAATTATGACACTACTATTGAAGTCTGATTGCAAGTGTGCAATCCACTACACACTAACCAGGGTCTAAGCTTCACCAATTCCAATAAGTTTTACTTCTGAATAGACTTGTATGGATTGTATGGTAGAACTCTGTAGATATTATTTCTGGAGAAGAACATCTTCTTGAAGGCTCTTTTGGAATAATGAGGTGAATGCGAATGAACATTCCTCTGAAGGAAACTGCATCCAGGAAGTTTTTCCTCCTTAGATATTAGGAAAATAAATACTTTGCTTTCCAGATTTCATATAGTATATGTATCTATTAAAGCACCACATAGATCCTTCAGGTATTTGTCTTAAGAAAAAAAAATACAAATGATTTTTGGCTAATACATACATGTAAGTGGTGGTGGGGAAAGAGATTGGCACCCCCCAAGGTGATCCATTGTGTCATCTGAAACTATTCCCAACTGTATTGACAAATTTTGATTTCTCAATATTTGGAGACAGGAAATACTAAAAACTGTAGAGTAAATGTAAAATGAGGCTTGTTTTTTAAAAAGAGAAAATCCCATTTTCCCCAAATAAAACCAGAATAAAAATATTTCACACATCCACTTGGGATCACAAAATTCTTGAGCTGGAGGTTCTATAAAAGCCATTGACTCCATCACCCTAATTGGTGCAAATTACAAACGATGGGGCTACCCATTGTGGTTCTCATTCCCCTGGAAGCCATTACGTCCAGCTGTCAGCCACCAAAATGTTCCTCACCCTGACAGGCAGAATTATGTGCTAAACAATAGTTTGGCCTTTTGCTTCCTACTTTTGAAATGAAACAGAATCATTTTATTTCCTTACCTTTAAGAAAACAGCCATGACTGCTAATCCATCAGATTGCCGAGCAGCTTCAACGAAACTGGGGTATTTATCTGCATTCCAATGGACCACATGAAGCTGAAAAGCAAGAACGCAAGTACAATTAATAATCACTTAATGAAGTTAGACAGGAGTCTGTAACACATGATGGAGTACTGGGGGCTAAGTTATTATTTTTTTACAAGTAGCCAAAAGCCATCTTGATGTATGTAGTCCTTTGGAAGCTCCACACGCGTTGGTCCAAAGCGCTGAAGATCCATTCTAGCCAGTCCTAGTTTGGGGCATGTTTATAAAAATAATAATACAGTCTGTGGCAGGTCCTCATGCCAGTCCCTCCCCCCAGGCTATGCCCCCACCCTCATTTTTCCCTCAGGAATCCTCATACACACACACTGGATTGAGGGCTTTAACATCCTTGCAGGAAAGCTGCTTTGTAAGTGCAAAGTATTATTATGAATAAAATCTAGGAGTTCTGATGGCTCAGTTCACTAAATCTGGATTCTGGAACTTAAGGTCAACACACACACTTTTAAAAGCTGGACAATATATCTTCTGAAATATTATGAACATTTTATAAAAAGGAAACAAATGCTTTCAACAGGAATGGCTTTTATTGCAGATTAATGGAAAATAACAAACAAGAAAGGACACGAGTAAACTCTGAAACACTGTGGGGGAGGCCCATTCCCAATGGCCTGTGACTTCTCTTTTAAAGGATGTATGTATCTTGTCTTACCACCGCTCTTGCACCACAGCTTGTTGGAGAAATCTTTTAAGGCCTGTTTCTTTTATGCATCATCATCAGCACTCCTGTATCGCAGCCTGTGGAAAACACCTGGGTCCAGGCGGTAGGCTGCCTCAGCTTAATAGGACTTTGGATCCACTGAGATCATCTGCCAGAGGAACTGTGTTGTCTTCTGTCTGCAGAGCAGCTCTTTCTTCTTGCATGTGCCAATTTGGCAGAGGTGCATTCTTGAGCCAAAGAGCCTTTTCTTCGTGGGGCTCAACACTGAACACCTATTTACTGATCCTCTGGGCATGTCTCCACCCATATGGTCAGCCTGGTACTCTCTCTCTAAAAGGGTCTTTTTTTTCCAAAATCAGTAGGGTTTCTAGTGGGTTCTCGAAGACGTTTATAATCAGCACAGGGAAAACTTTTTAAACTGACTAAACATTCCTAGATATTTTCTCCTTCCATTTGGTTTCTTAGATGGAACTTATTTTTTTTCCAGCTATATATCTGTTTTGGAACATATTGTTTTCTAAGCACCTCTTATTAATTCGTTATATTCCATCTCACCTGGTTCCTGTGAAAAACATAAGTCTTTAAACACTGCAAATGTCATTTCCCCCAACTGATTTCCCCCCCCAGTAATTTTAGCCATTTCTCCACCTTGCTTTATTTTATCAAGGAAATTATTTCTGTGAATCTTCAGTTCTTGCATTACAGTACTGACAAACATGTGCTTCTATTTCAAACTAATATTCCATTTCAGAAATATTAAAAAAAACACTGAAAAGTTTCCCTCTTAATGTTAGAAGGGAAGAAGCCATTTATACTTTTTGAGGACCTTATGTTGGGAAAAGCAATAATTTGAAAATGTAATTTATTAATAATGTCTCTTCCATTTGGCATTTTTGCCATTCCATTTCAGCATGGAAAACACATTAAAATAAATTGGCAGAGGTTGTAACTAGACTAAACCTTTCATCTGAGAGAATTGTTACAGTATTATCAAAAAAGAACATTTACAGTCTTGAATTTGGTTCCACCCAGATGCACCAGGCTTCATCTCCACCCAGCGTGGTTTCAAGCCCATCCGGGGGACCAAAAATCAGCCAACAGGGAAATAGTGTTGTTTCTCTTGCTTTTGAGAAAACATCAACAGAAGGTATTTTAGTCTATTTCACTCTCTGAAACCTCTCTCTGACAGACATACTATGAAAAATATAAATGGGAAGACTTAGTATCTATATGTTAGGCATTCCCAGAGGTTTAACTGACCCCCCATTATCCTGCAGCAAATTTATGCTGCTTATCCAGCATAGTAAAATGTAAGGCCACTTTGAGACCTGTACATACTTCCCATGTGCTGAGAAGTGAAGTGAAAAGGAGGGAAACAGGAAATTATTGTGCCTAATGGAGATCTTGGAACTTAAATGCAAAAGACTGAGTCAAGCCCTATTATTTCAGAGCCTCTTCTCATCATTAGAATGCTAGTTATATTTTCAGTGTATGAGGATGTTTTAGAATAGCAATTCCCAAGGAAGAAAATAATATGCAGTATAGTTTTGCCTTTGTTGTGATGTTCATCAACGTGAACCCAAAGAGCTGATTAATTCCAGGGCTTCCACGTTTTACACAGCAGATGTTTTCCCTGTATTTTACCATGTCACTAGACAGTGAACACTGGAATATTTTAAAGGAAGATTTGCATCCATAGCGCCTATGTGTGTGAGAGTCAGAAGGCAGGGTAGCTCTCCATGTTCGTCCGCCTCTATTTGCCAAAAGGTACATTCCTTTAAAAAATTCAGTGTCCACTGACATGTGGCAAACAGAGAAAATAAATCCACAATGAGCAAAGCACAGGTGCACCAGAAGCATAATGGCTGAAAACACAGTGTGCAGAACACATAAATAAAAGACAATATGAAAACGTTACTGAGCACACACCAAAAGCACTTTTCACGGCATCCAGGAATAATGAAAGGCACAGGTTTTAATTAAAAAAAAACTCCAAAACACTGATGTGCAATTCTAAGCAGAAGTGATTGGGAGTAATTTCCATGGAAATCCATGGAATTTACTACCAAAGATATGATCAACATACAAGTTACAGTAAAAATTTCCAGGCCAGGCTAGTTTTAAATTCTAAAATATACATTAACAACTACAAATTTCCCACTTAAATAATAAAATTCATCATATAGCATTAAATTATTTTGCTTGAACCTGACCAAATACATTTTTTGTTGGCACATATCACTAAATGAATGCAACCAGTCCTGTAGTAAAATTTACCATTACAAATGAATAATGATTTTGCTGCTGAAATCACACCAGTGCTTTATACAACAGTCATCTCAGAAAGGACAGCTTTAATTATGCTGCACAAGTAAATCCTGTTGCTTTAGGACAGTTCAGAGGAGTACTTTACCTCTGCTGCGAATTTTGCTCCATCCACGGCATGTTCAGAACCAATGTCATCACTAGGTCCCCAGTGGAAGTGGATTTGTCGCAGCCTATAATTTCCAGTGAGTGGACCCCCACTCAGCACTATAAACAATAATGATAATTCTTATTATTAAATAGAGAGTAGGACATTTTTAATGCTTAAACATTCCTTTGGACTACTTGAAAGCCAAAATAAACTGATGCAGAAAACACCAATTGGATCTCTCAATGTTAAAACTACTGCTGGGGGATCCAGCTTAACACTAGAGGGCCGGCACTTTCCCCGCACGCTATTTTCTGATTCGAAATAACTATCCTGAACATTGCTATTCACTCTACAGAGGGGGAAAAAAAAGCAAGCAAGAAATCTGAACTTTCCCATGAAATGAGAGCAACAGGAAACAAAAACACTAATTATACTGAAGAGGGAGAGAAAGCAATGTTTGAGAAAGGAATTTAGCCCACCTGAACAGGGCTTTTAGGAAGCTGTCCAACTTTCTGCAGCCAATCAGACAAAATCATATTCAAGAAAGATGTGGACAGCCTATCTGAAGGCAGACATATTTAGGTAACTGCAACTAACTGAAACCCACTCAGATGATAAGGTAAAAGGATCTTCTCTGGAGAATAGCTGCCTTATAATTTAGATAAAGTTAGTTAGTTATAGAACATTCAGTCTGCAGTGAAGCAGACTTAGATTTACTAGGAAACAAACCTGATTTATTCTCAGTGTCATCAAATTCCACACTGGTGGAGTGTCCATTGTTGAGTATGACTTTAGCAGAGGAAGGATCATAGCTGGGGCTGAGAGGGCGCAGGGTGGGGTCATATTTGGTCTCTTGAGTTTGAATATCAATGGGAGATTGACGGTTTCCATTAGCAATGGGGAAAACTTCCTTCCAATGAGTAGGTCCTAGAATACATTGCAGTAAAAACATTGTTTACAGAATATCATTTGGTACAGTCAGACAAACAAAGAAATTGTCATATAAGAAAATGCACAAGAACCTACCTGGATTTTCTTATTTTTCTTTTAAAAAAAAAATTATTAAAAATGGTTGGATTTAAAGGGATGGAAAGTACACCACCCAGTCATCTTTGGTGAGCTGAAAGACAGCCCTCCCCACAAATATCTTAATTCTAATGAATTGAATACCCAAGGATGCAGGTTAGAACATTAGAGTTGTTCATTTTCTGCCTACTTCCAGGCATTCTGGTCATTAGGAATGCAGCAAACACCTGAAATTAACACACATGCAATAGATTCAGAGAACATTTACCCATTAGATGATTTAATCTGTCATTCACACAACTATAATGCTTTATTTTGGTTCAGTATCATAAAAACATAGAAAGTGCTTTATTCAGAGATAGAGATTAATATTGGCTCATCAAAGTTTCAGATAAGATTGAAGAAGATGCGCTGCCTAGAGAATCCAGGGAATTAAACACAGCTTAGGAAGCCTACATACTGATCTCCAAACTTGATACAGCATGGTCACGTTGAAAAGAGAATACTTGACTGTCACAGAAGAAGGGTCAGAACTGGTTTATACATGCAACAGAGCAAGGTGGAAATCTGGTGGTAGACTACACTGTACCACTTTGGACTGCATATGGGAAACTCTAACAACAATTTTAAAAATTGCACTTCAGAGTGAAAAAAAACAATGCAGCCATCTCACTGGTACCTACAGTTTATGTACAGTTTTTCCACAGGTAGAAGAGGGTAACAATGTGATTTCCTAAGTTGCCATCAGAACTGGTATGGTCCACTTTTTGCCCTCAGATATCTGAGCCACTTGCTCCTAAACAACCAGATCTCAGTCTATCAGTTATTATCACAGATGCAAAATTAGAATTATGAGATATGAACATATTCCTTAAATCAGAAGTTAAATGTTAGAAGTACCAAACTTCACAAATACCAGTCTTGAGCATAAAAAAAGAACCGAAATCCTCAGCATTTTAAATGCATATACATGTTATATTATTTTAATTGTCCCAGCTCTCTTCAAAAGAAATGAAAGAATTATAAGGTGGTAAAAATGTTAGGCATTTTGATGTTATGATAGCAAAACAAAAACAAAAACAAAACATCATAAAACAATAGTTATACAATCCTTGGGAAAAGAGATATCTGTTAGTTACATCATAGATATACCTCCAGCTACTGGTATTAATAACATTTTGGATAACTGGCATTTAGATCAGCTTTACACAGTAGCCATAATATGAAATGTTACTTGAAAATATACCAAGTGAGTGACAGTCATACTAACTCTGAAATAGCCGATCAACACAAGTGAAAAGCACTAGGTTGTAGAAGGATGGTTGTTATTCTCTTTCATTTAGTTAAGAAATCTTCATTAGGGAAGGAATAACAAAAAATGCTTCTGGTATTTCTGTTGTCAGAAATGCTTCTGGCCAAACTTGGGATTTGGTTTAAGTTTAGATCTCCTATAGGAGGAATGCAAAAACAGCTCGCCATTATGCCCTTGGGGGTAGTACCAAAAATTTGGGATCTTTTTCTTTTTTTCATTATTAATGGATAAAATAGATGATCAAGGAACCGACTTCAGCCTTTAAAAATCCTAACCCCCCCCCCAAAACCAAGACTGATCCTGCCTATTTTGGAGTTCAGTTCTTGAAATGCTGCAAAGTGTAATCCAGCCCTCAAGCCAACAAAAAATGTGCACCCATTCTACACTTTTTCCATTCCCCTGAAATAGTTCATAACATTTTCCAGCAATAAGTTTTCAATTAATCTACCAGTGTGCAAGGCAAGATTTCTATCTGATCACAAGATTCCTTCATAGAATTTTAATCACAAGAGATCTCTATTTTATTACACACAGACACCTTGATTCTCTTTGAAATTTCAGAAAAACTATGAAGGAGCGTAAGGTACTAAACTGACTTGATTCTATCCAATCTACAGATATATGATGAATATATTGGGTTAGTACTTCAAAAAGCTTCAACTCTTTAGCATGAGAGGCAAATGAACTTCTATAGTTTTATGGTTTTATGCTTTTTATAGTTCTGGGTTTTATTGTTGTTGTGAGCTGCCCAGAGTTGTGTTTTTAGATGGGTAGCCATACAATTTTTTTAAAATAAATAAATATTCCACTTGGCTTATCAAGTAATCATAGGGAGAAGGTTATGAAATTCTCAAGCCTATATTTTGTATTTGCTAAGATGGAAAATCCCATTCACACTTAGCATTTTAGATCAGTCAAAGTTCATCAGGAATCTAATCCAATAATTGTTCAAAATTATTCATCAAGAGCTCAGCAAGATAGATGACATGGAGAGATATTGGCTTGCCTAAAGTCCCTTACTCTAAGAAAATAATATCTCAATCTTCTCTGCTTCTAATTCTGGAGAAAAAAACAGTATCATGTCTTTTATCATGTCTGGGACACACCGTCTGTTTTACGTCAACCATATTTCTGTCCCACCAAGATTATCTTTTGTACTGTTTCATACCATATATGCAGTGTCAAATTCTAGTTCTAAAACGAGTCAGCTACAGAATATCGTTTTTCATTCCTCAAAGATCATTTCTGTCACTTAACATTTATCATTCAGTATCAAGACTGACAAAATAACGTTCTTACCACTGCAAAGCTTATTGAACTGATTGCTGAAATAATTTCTATGCTTGCACAGGTACATCAAATTAGGGGTAGGCAACCTCTGCCCACCAAATGCTTTAAATTTACCAAGCCTTAAATGCCAGCATGCTGATTTAGAGGGCAACCCTATGCAGATTTTATTCAAGAGGAATTTCCATTGTGTTCACTGAAAGAGATCACAAGATAATAACGTTTAGTAATTGCAGAATGGCTTACCCCAACCTTTTTAATTCAATGAAAGCATGAAAACTATTACTCTAACCCATTATTCTGTGTAATTACAATGAGAATGTTATCTCACAAGAATAAATGTGTATGGAAAAATGTATACAAGTGATTATTTGTCTGGGCTAATAATACAAATCTACCTCCCAGGAGGTAGCCACCTCCTAAGTAATAAAAAAATTCTCATTATAGGAAGTTGATGTGGAACTTCCAGAACTGTTTTGTGTGTTTGCATGTTTAGAACAACACAGCTGGAGTCACTGGTAATAACAAGATGTTTTATAGAGCTCTGATGTTGTTAGGTTCTCAAAGCTAGGAATTCCACTGTATTAGAAGTGGAGCCCCTACTGACAGTGAAACCAAATTGAGCTTGACATGTTAACTATTGGATAGTCTTGATGTTTATCATCCATCTATTTAGTCCGCAGAAGCAGTACCTCTCAGATGTAATAGCCAGCCTTCGAAGAACTTATCTAGGTTCCTCCATATGAAGCAGGACACAAAGTTCTGTAAGATTATCTTTGATGCATTGCTTGCTAAACAGACGTCATCCAGCCTGCTGTAGCATCGAGATTAGACAACAGCAACACAAACTGAAGTCTTTCGCTATCTGTATTACTGTGGTACATACACTCTGAGTAAGAAATGGTACATTTTAAAAAGTCTTCCTAAATCTGTTACTGAATCCTGCCTATCACAGGGAGTAAAGGAGTATACAAAATCAGAGTTGTTCCAAACTCATCATCCAAACACCCAGAAACTTAGAACACACCAAGTTTATCTAAATTGGAAAGATCAAAGGTGCCTTTACAGAAAGAGCATTTGAAGGTAGGTGACAGTATATTAATATCAGAATGATATTTCATAAATATTTCATAAATCCTTCATTTATCCCTTTCACATTATTCAAAATCACTTTCAGGTTTCAACAACTCTAACTGTGCCATGTTTTTATTTACTTTGTTTATAACATAAAAGTAACTAAAAAGCTGTATTGTCCAGACTACGCATTTGATTTTTCTTTTGCAGTCCAACATGAACAAAGTTCACACGTGACATAAGAACTGGAGCTGGACAAAAATGTACTTTTAAGTACCTCTGTGAACTCATTTTAATACTTCCCCCACCCTGAAATTAATTTTAATTTAATAGAGACATGATAGAACAGAAACACAGAATGTACAAACCGTGGACCTTGAGATTTAGTACAAAGATCATTAATACAACTCTATATGGAAGAAAAATATTAATTATGATTATTAACTCAACACTATATATAGCAAAAAAGAAGTCAAAATATGTGAGATCAATAAACTGCCTTGTTACCTCACTTGGCATATCTCAAGAATATATACTCTTAAATACGCCAAAGCCGCTCATATGCACAATGTGCCTGCTGTTTCTTTCTCTTATTAGGAGCAAAACAGTAAGCATGATTTTAAAAATCAGGATCCTTTGATCCTTCTACAGTATTGGAGCAATTTAATATGTCTTGTGATTTACTCTTCCCATAGATCATTGGAGATCACTGGAGGTCTCTCCTTTTACCTCCAAAATTATAGATGATTTAAAAAAAAGTAAAGATAACTGAGTATGAAAAAAAGATAAATTGTCATGTAATATTCTTTTAAAAATATTTTTTTACATTTCACTCAAATCTGCAGCTTCAAATTTATGATTGAGAAATTTCATCTAATCCAAACTTGAGAAAATGTACTCCAACTCATGAAAAGTAATGCAACTACACTTCTACAAATCTTTTAGGAGTATGCCTTCCAAAGGGATATGAAAGGAGTCCAAAAGAATAACGGAGGGAGGAAGGGAGGGAGGAAGAGGGGAAGAGAGAGAGAGAGAGAGTGAATGAATGAATGAGAAAGAAAGAAAGAAAGAAAGAAAGAAAGAAAGAAAGAAAGAAAGAAAGAAAGAAAGAAAGAAAGAAAGAAAGACGCACAGACTTCTAAGCGAAGATGTTCCTTCCGCGGTTGTAATAAATTCTATGCGTACTTTTTTGGAAGTAAATCCCATTACATTCGAAGGTAGGCTTGCTCCTAAGGAAACACGAGTAATGTGAGAGAGAGGTTGCACGTCTAGTGGAAGTGGCTTGAAGACACATCGGCCTAGGAAGGAAGCGCTCCCACCTTTTCCCATCCCAACTGAAGGAAAGAACTGTGCGCATGTTGAGGATGATGGTGGTGATGGTTGTAACAATATCACCAGCGGGAGCAGAACCTTTCCTGGCCCTCGGGCACGGTCTCCCGACAGCCCACCCCCTGTACCTATTCCCCCAGAGAGCCACCAGCTCTCTTCCTCACCGTTGTCTTCCTCGTAGCCCCAGTGCAACATGACTTTAGACTCCTAACGGGATGGAGGCGAGGGAGGCGTTGCAGAAAGGCGAATGCTCGTCTCGGTGCCGAAAGGGGGGCAGAGCAGCGGCGGCAGCGGCAGCGGCAGCGGCAGCGGCAGAAGGACGACGACGACGACTCTCCCGGGGATAAGAAGCCCGCCCACGGCAGAGCCCCTCGGCGCCTTTTTATCTCGTGCGCGCCACCCGCCGCCGCCGCCTTTGGCCGCCGGGGGGTTGGTCGGCAAGCAGCCCCTTTTCGGGCAACGTCACTTGAGAAGGAGTTAGGCGGCTCGGGAAAGGAAGGCACCCTTGGGTGCTCGCCTTGCATTTGGAGGCCCGGCTCTTCAAAAGCCATGCCAGAAGCGGACGCGCTCTTTTCCAAAAGCGAGGGTGGGGAGGGATTCCTTTTTCACCGCCTGTCCGTTGCAGCAGCTACAACAACTACGTTCTTTAAGGAAGCTGATGCCAAGACGGATGCGCGGTGCAACCCGCCAGATTCGAACAGGATTGTGCTATGACTTCTGGAGAGAAGAGCTCCCAAGGGAAGCTTGTGAACGCATCTGAAAGAAAATCAGAAGAGGTTGAAGAATTGGCTTGTTCTACAAAATCCCAAGAGATCAATACCTACAAACCCGCCTTCCCCACCTTGGCCCTCTCCATCTTTGTTCGACTACAGCTCCCATTACTTCAGCCAGCTAGCAATAACAGAGGTTCCCTAGCAAATGGAGAGCACCAGGTTGGGGAACACGAGGCTGATCCAGACTGGAGTGTGCCACTGAAGGGGAAGCAGGAATTTGGGGACTCTAAAGGACTACAGCTGGGCAGGGTTTTCTTCTCTTTCCTCACCAGTGTCACTGAATTGTCTACATTTTGTCTCTATAGCTGCCAAGAGCTTCCAAGCTCCCAGCCATAGCATAGTTATATGAGTGTCCCATGACTGGCCTTATAGAAACCAGCACGGGCAGGGACTCCATGCTAATTCGTGGTGCACCACAGCGTGGTACGCAGTTTGGTCAGACAGAGGTAAACCATGATGTAGAATAGCTCCACTCTCCTTCCCCCACTTTTCCTCTACTGCCGCTACCCTTCCTACTTGTGGCAGCTATCAGTGCTAGCTAGGAACAAATTAAACCTCATTTTTAATGAACTTGTACAGTGGATTTATTTTTTGCCAGAGTTTATGGTATATTTGTAGCTTGCATTTGAGATAAGATTGTTTTTTCTGCTTCTGGAAATCAGTTCTTACACAGGAGTTGGGTGCTGATAATAATATTCATTTCACCTCCTTTACAATAGGTGCACTATTACCCCTATTGATCCCTTCTGTATAGAATATGTGATTATTGAGAGAGTTGATTAGATTATATGTCTGATGTACCTTGTGGACAATATTTGCAGATCACTTGTTAGCTTATGTAATATGCATGTGCATACATAATGTACTGCACAACATTGCAGATAGTTTTATATTTATCTATCTGGATTAAGAAAGGTATGTTATCATGCATACATTTTATATATCCTACCTGAATATATGAGCTGCGCTCCCTTGTCCAGGTTTGGGCAAGATTTATAAAGATCATCCAGTCCACTCCTAACCCCTATTCTAAAAGCGAACCATATGTCCTAAATGCCCTCCTTTCTGCCAATCTACATAATTCAGACAAAACTGTTACACACCAGGTGCTGAACAGCTCCTGCAGATCAAACAGCTTGCATTGTGTATGCATGAAATGAACACACTCAACCACACGTTTATTGCTGGCTGTTGTTTTATCTACTCCACAGTTCCAAGACAGCAAGAGAGATATGATTGTTAAGAATGTAGAAGGACAAGCATAAAAGGGACATATGAGAACGATAAGATAATGTGCAAAATACTGGTCAGAGAGATAAGACTGACTGGCCTACTCCCTTCCACTGCCTATTCCAATTGCTACCACAATAGTAAACCAGTGTTGACCAAAGGATCTTGAACTACCACAATTGTCTAATTCAGTGCTAAATCATAATGTGGTTTCTTTGGTTTTGGCTTTGTAATACATGATTTCACTTATTATGACCTAATACTTCGTACTAATCAGACCATAATGACTTGCTCAACAAAACATATCTTGAAAACCCTGGATTAGTATGTGTGATGTATGAACCCCACCAATATTGTTCACCATTATTTAACATATACATGTCTTCTTAAAGTAAAACATCTGGCCTTCAGATATTGTATCAATATTAAAAATTAGGAGGAGTCTGACAGCACCTTTTCTGAGTAACATAATTTTATGAAAAGGCATATGCTTTTGTGAGCTACATCATGAGTTCACTTCATCAGATGGAGTCTGGTGACTGGACTGATGTACTGTAGGATTTAAACTGGGATGGGGTGAGGGGGAGAGGAGAAGATAGAAGACAGGGTAGTTATGCAGATACAGGTTACAAGTAAGACAGATGATAAGTACCCAATCAACTGTAGTATGTTAAAATGTGTTGTGTTTGTTGAGACCTTCAGAGACAGCCTGAAATCTTTTGAAGTAGGGACACATTACAACTGTTAATAGATAAGGCATTTTTAACCTGTTTCACATGCAACCTGCATCTGCAGAACCACTCTATCTCCCCCCACACAAACTTTCCCCCCCTCTGGCTCATCCCGATTTTAATGCAATACTAGGTTAGCCACTCTGTGCATCTGACAAAGTGAGCTGTCACTCACAAAAGCTTTCACTTTTTAATTACATTTGTAAGTCTGAAAAGGCATTATCAAACTTCTGATTTTTGGCTACTGTAGACTAATGCAGCTGTCCTCTTACAATGTCCATAGATTTTAGATTCTCTGGCAAAGGCTTCCCTAAAGTGGTTATGTAATTAAGACTGCCCTTATTATTATTTAGTAAAGATATCAAATGCCACAAATAAAATCATGTCTGTACTTTAACAAGAGCCAGTTTGGTGCAGTGGTTAAAGCATCAAGCTAGAAATCGGGAGACAGTGTGTTCTAGTCCCACCTAAGGTATGAAGCCTGCTGGATGACCTTGAGCCAACATACTCTCTCAGCCCTAGGAAGGAGGCAATGGCAAACCACTTCTGAAATCTTGCCAAGAAAACAGCAGGGACTATTCCAGGCAGTTGTCAGGAGTCAAAAACTGACTTGAAGGTACACATACACTTTAACAAAGAATTCAGATAATCTATGACATATACCAGTACAACAGGAGACAAGGGTTAGAACAATGTGACATATAACTAAACTTTAAATTCTAAATTCAAAAGCACAATCCTCGTCTTATTCTGGCTGGAGTATGAACTGGATTCAAAGTCACACTGAGGTACTTATGCACAAGAATGAGATGACAAAGCAGACTGAGCACAGAGGACATATCATCTTTTTGGATGCTTCGTAAAAAGGTACTTCCAGCATGTTGAAAGTAGTACAAGGAATGGAAGAGAACATTTTTTCTTTGCAAAGTTTTGATATGGGGAAATATTTAAAGGTGGCATTCCTTGCCTGTAGTATGAATTAATACTCAATCCTTTTATCAGCTGATTCCACAGCACATGTTGACTCAGACTATTATAACTAAACTGGATTTTCATTTTTGGCAGAATGCAGTGAAATACCAGTCTTTCCCCCTATTTTGACACTGGGGAGGCAGCAGTGGGGCAAATTGAATGTCCTCCTGCCCTACTTGTTGGTTGATAGCCGGCCTCTATAAGCAACACAATGATAGACAACATGGAAGTTGGTCTGATCTAACAAGCCCTAAGAATGGTAACTTATGTATGCATCGCCACCTTCAGTTTGCTGTTAATATTGCAATCTAAACATGGATTTTAAAGCCATCTTATTCAAAAAACTACTGTACTGAGATTACCAAAATACTTAATGCATACAGCCCTTATTCAATTTGCTGCTAGCTGTGTTTGTAAAGCATATATTTTAATAGGATTTGTTTGTCAACCATACATTAAAGTAGCATGACTGATATTCATACAACAGGTATAATTTAAATTTGCCATGCTGTACCACTGTCAAAAAGTTTAATATTAATGTGAGTAGTACAAAGGTTCAGTGCTTCCTGAAAGACACTTTACAGGAAGATTTTAATCTCATCTTCTATGAGTGAATGCTAGATTAGAGTATGGTGAGTCACAAATAAGACTTGTGACCTATGCCACAGTAATTAACCATATGCCCACAGAGAATTCACAGGAAGGTCATAAGATTGCTACTTTACACACACACACACAGGATTGTGCTGTAACTGTGCTGAGGTTGAGTAAAAATTAGTGATGGGCCACAGCAGATTGCCAGTGAAGAATGTTGTATGTGTTCTGTGAATGTTGCTGTAGATTGAGGAAGGTCTGGAGGTTCCTCAGATCCCTCCAAAGGGCTGGTGTTGCAGAGCCTGTTGCAGGGTTACTACAGGAAATGATAACAGCCAGAGTTTTCAGAGTGGCCTAGAAAGGTGTGCTCAATAGATGGTGATAACCCAGGAGCCAGATGAGACAGAGCACCAGTTTGTTTAGACATCCGGCGTCAGTCTGCTGTTTGGCCACACTTTAGATTCGATTCAATTTACAGGTAATCCCCAGTTTAAGAATGAGTTCCGTTCCCAAGGTCTGTCCTTAAGTCGAATTTGTATGTAAGCCAAGATACTATTATTGTATAATACTGTATAATTAGGTAATTAACTTGAACCATTGTGTATTTCATTTGAATCATTGTGTATTTAACTCAAATTTTGCTACAATAGGCTCCATTCTTAACTATGGGTCATCCTTAAACTGGACGTTCTTAACCCAGGGACCACCTGTACTGTATTCAGTTAATATAGCAGCCCATCTCATGCCTGACTCTTAGTGCTTAGCCACTTAGTGCTGGACTGGAGGTGCTGCCAGTCAGATGTTGAAGATTCAGCAGTGATGTGGCGGAAACAGAGCAGTTGTTAACTTTCAGCCAGTCGGCAACAGCAGCAGCAAATTTGGCTGCAAGTGATCTAGCAGCAGCATCCTCTGCTTGGTGGTCATGGTGGCAGTGATTTGGGGATGCCTGGCTTCAGCATTGCAGATTGCTCAGGCCCTGGAATGCTGGGGGTGAGTGGCAGCGGGAACATGATTGGCCTGGAAGGCCAGCTTGAGGTCTGTGGCTGTTGTGGAGCTCAATACTCTGGACAGCAATCATTCTCTGTCCTACATGTTGCAGCAAGACTCAGTGATAAAAAGAAGTGTATGCCTTTTGTTCCAGATATTTCTAGTGATTTCCATCTATGGCATCAGTTCTGGAAGGGAAAGGGCTAAGTGGATTATGGTGGATGGGTTTGGTGGACTTGTGGTGACTAAAGTGGAGGTGTCTGCTCTCCCTTTGGATGAGATGTTGTGGTGGGGAGACTGCAGCATCCTTTAGTTTGCCCCAGTTTTAGAAAGGACTAGAGTTGTTATATGCCTCCAATTGCTCCAATAAGAGTGGATGTGAACTGGATGGTGTGATATATAAGTGTGAGGGCAACTGGATGACTGGAACATGGGATTGCTGAGTGCTGGGACAGAAGCAACCCAGAGTAGAGTGGCTAGCGGGCTGGATCTTATGACATCTGGTTATTGGACAGAGGTCTCTGACCTGGGGGAGGGATGGCATGGGTTGGAGAGGGGAATAGGAAATAACATCATGGTGGTGATGGGTAGAGAGAGAGGTAGAACGCAGTGGGCAGTGGAGTTTCCCAAAATTATGATACTGAAAGATTTTAATCTGCCTTCTCTGAATGCTTGGGAGTTTGTGGTAAACATGGACATGACCTAGATCTAGGGCCTGACACCCAGTAGACATCACATGTTAAGAGTGGTGATATAATCTGGATTTTAGGGGTGTTAATGTAAGTCCCTTGTCATGATCAGATCACCTTTGATTGGAATTCTTCCTGCCTCAGGGAAGTAAGGCCTGTCTCCATGCACCTGATGAACTCTGCTGGATTTCAGAGGGAGCTTGGGGCTGTTCCCAAGGCTCTGATGCACAGTTCAAATGAGGCTGCTTGGAATGAGAGGGAATGACAGCCTTGGATCAGGTTCTGCCTGCGCAGCCGCTCCCTGCTCATGGATCCCTGAGAACTCCCTAGTTTTCAGAGGAACACCAGGAGATGAAATAGTAGAAAAGTTGCCTGGAACACCACTGGAGGATAGCAAAGAAAAAATCCAATTGAACATCAGTCCAAGAATTCATTAAGGATAACCTTGTAGCAATAAGAGCAGCGAAATGTAACTATTTGCATCTGCAGATAGCCAACCAGCAGCCTGTTCAAGCTGAGCTTGTCCTTCAGCGAGAGAGGGTCCAAGTGAACCTCTGCAAGGCCACTGTGAGGAATCTGACAGATTGAGCTATCTGACAGGTAAAATCATCTGGATCTGCTCTGAGCCTGACCCCGGCTATGCAAGTACCCTGGCGCTGACTGAAGCATGGTTAAACACGGCTTTGGGGAATTCTGGGATTTGAAGTCCACCCATCTTAAAGCGGCCAAGGTTGAGAAAAGCTGCTTTATCCAGAGCCCAACGGCAGAGGAGGGCGCTTGCTTTTAGCAGAATCCGCCTCAATCCCCCTCGAAGAAAAGGAGGTGGCGGGACACGACCCAAGTCCCTTTGCTCCATTTTGCGCCCCTCTTCCTGGACGCAGCACTGGTTTCCTGGGCTTACTCAAAAGGAAGCGCCCGCGATGCGCGCGCGTTGAGGGCTTGAGCCCAGATGGATACGGCTGTCAGCCGCTCCACCGACACCCGGGCCCTTTCCCTCATTCGTAGCCGGGGCCAAGGACTATGCCGCCCAGCGCCCCCGAAGGGCGCCAAGGAAGCCCTACAGGGGCTTAGCCCGTAGTCGAGCTGAGGTGGGAGAAACGGCCCGTCGCGCTCTGATGACGCGCTCGCGCAGCCGCGCGTGGCGAGTCGAGGAGGAGGAGCTTCGCGTCCATGTGGAGCGGTCCGGAAGGTGGCTCCGGGGAGGCGTCTTGGTGGAGGGTGGCGTGCGTCGTTGCGGAGAAGAGGTAGTCCGGTGGGCGCGATTTGGCCATCGCCCCCCGGTTGGGGCTTTCTTGAGGTGGTCGCCTGCAGCTCCCGTTATCCTCAGCCGGGATAAAAAGTGAGTTTGTGAGGTCGCTGAATGCCGTCTTACGGCAGCGGTACGGCATTGGTTGGCCACCTAAGCCATGCTAAGGCGTAACTCGGACCAGCGTGGCTAATGACAGCCCCCGCCCTATGGAACCCCCTGCCCCCGAGATCCGATAGCCCCCTACCATTCTGTCTTTCCGGGGGGCTTCGGGGTAGGGCGAGGCCAGGGTGTGATGAGAGGGAGGGTGCCCTAGGGAAGTGTGGCTGCGCCGCCAGGTTTTTCCGTTTTTGTTTTCGTTGCTGTTGGCTTTTATACTGTTTTGTATTGTTTTATACTGTTTTACTGGTTAGACGCCGCCCAGAGTGGTTTTAAGATGGGCTGCTAAATACAAGTTTTAAATAAATATATGGGCAGCTATCTAAATAAATAGACAGGGGTTGTTCAACGACATTTAGTTTCGGGATCAACTCTTGACAAATGTGCCTTCCAACCCTTGGGGAATCAGCATACTGTATGTTATGGCCCTGTTTGTGTCTCACGCTTCACCCGGGCCCTTAATTCACTCCCTGTTTGTGAGTTGGGCCAGTAGTTAAACCCAATCAACAGGAGCGGGTGAGAGACAGTTACCTTCTCTGGTCAGCTGTTTTTATTCAGACAGGCACAATAAGTTGCTAGGTTAATTCCCCCACCTGCTGCCAGCAAAGAAAAATCGTAGAACAGCTTTGCAGAAATGAGGTTACTCTGTATACTTCCATCACTATGTTGTTTTTAAACCTTTGTGTCCCTCTCACGGCCCCAGAAGGGGGATAAACAAGGGGCAGAGAGGGGTAGGGTTGGATAAGCCCTCACCACTCCACTTGTGGTGGTGCTGATTCCAGACTAATTTGTAAACTGTTTTTCCCCTCTGGTGGAGAAAAATGCAAAGAAATGGTGGTGATTGTGGATAGGAAATCAATAAAAATGACTGTTCACTATTTAACCTAGTCACTGTGGATCATGTGTTGTGGCTGCGGGGGGTGGGGTGGGATGTCAGTCATGTGCCAACATGGCTTTATTGCTTCTTAAATGGTGGGATGGTATCCACATTATAGAATGCTCTACCCATAGACCCCATCTGTTTTCTTTCCTGAAGGTTTTAACATTTCCTGCAATTAATTAATTTAGGAAATCTCTTTAGTTATGTTACTGAATGAAGTTTCTTTTTTGGTTGTAGTTTCTGCTGTTTTGTTTTGATGTGTAAGTCTCCTTCCCACTTGTTACTCACAGCAAAGTATACAGAGCTTACCTTGTTTCCCCTGTGCACAGAAATACTCAGAAACATACATAGATGTAATAGCTCCTATGGCTATGGCTGGTAACTGGTTTGAATTTCAGAAACTACACTCTGATTGGCTGGTGTGGGTCTTCCGGGCTGTGTGGCCGTGGTCTTGAAGTCTTGTTTCCTAATGTTTCGCCCGCACCTGTGACCGGCATCTTCAGAGTGCAGGAGCACAGACAGGAGCAGTTCTCTCTGTGCTGGCGACAATACATTACACTCTGATTGCTTTCCCTACCTTGTTATTCTTTCCAAGCTAAACCTACAGAATACTGGGAATTATGTAAAGGGACTTGGACGTTCTCTCTCTGTCAGCAAGATAACTCTCTAAAAACTGAAAAGGACCAAATTTGGCATGGAGAGAAAAGGCAGCATAAGGAAGATTGAATATGGAAGAGGTTATAATGATTGTCCACCTATGTTACCATCAATGTCAGCATTATTATTTAAGATGTCAAAAAACCTAGCACATTGCCCATAGCTAGAAAAAGAAAAAGGAACTTTGTCATGCAGAAATAGGCATAGATAATAAATTTGTAATAAAAAAAATTGATCACAGCAAGAAACAATTGATGGAAAAAGTCTCCTTTCTGAAAATGCACCCTTCACCAGTGTTCAATTCCTTTGACCAGGAATATTGCCCACTTAAAAGACCAGATATAATTTTAAAAAATAATTTTCCGACCAATGTGCGTACTTACAACCAAATTTTGTGTGCCTGACAATAACACATGCTGGAATGAGAGTAACGCTGGTGTTGCTGCATGAGAGAACTTTGTCTAAATGAGATGGCAGCAACCAGTGATCTTTGCAGCATCTCTCAGAGTCATGTGCTCACTTAGTGGCCATTTTGCTTCCAATTTAAGGAATGGATTGCAGTTGCTAAACAAAGAGAGGTTGTATAACTTTGAAAAGAGAAATGGGTACTATGACAGTATTGAAAAACAAACAATAAATAATTGAAACATGTGCTGCTTCCACCTCATTTGCTTGCCCATATTCTCAATGTTCAATACAAGAACCAATCATGGACAGCTGAAAAAGAAGAGTTGGCTATGACCTGGGTATCCAGTAGTCATCCTTCCATAAGACCAACTATAACAAATTTCAGGGAAGTTTGGAAGTTACTTAAAATATGGATTCAAAAATTACTAAAACAGTAATCTACCTTTTAACAACAGTAACTGAGGTAGAAACATGTTTTTCCTTTGAGGGGAAATTTGGGAACTAAAAAAGAGGATTTGGTAAAGAACAACACTCATAGTGAACAGACTATCTACTGAATATTTTAAGTTTATTGTGCTAACTTGGCTGAAATTGCTTCACTTTTTAAAAGCATCATCTATAAAGAAAATAGTTAATTAAAAATGTCTGTGCTTGTTTTTGCTCATGTGTTTTATCGCTTGTTCATGAAAGCTAGCAATTGTTTTTCTTACATGGGATGGCAAAAATGCCCTCCAGACATCACCACAATTAACTGAACTGGAACTGAGTTTTTAATGGCTTCGCAAATATGAATCTGCTTGCTTTGTATTAAGGTCATCATTCCATTTTGAATGAAAATTAATCTGAAAAAAATCTGACTACATAATTGCTTTATATAATTGGCACCTTCTAAAAAATGAAATCTGCATTTTTCTCTGAGTACTAAAGAATATGTATTCAGACTGTGTCAAGCAACAATAATGAATATACCAGAAATGATTAATATAATATCTTCCCAACTAGTGAAGCATGTATGATTTAATTCATTAACTTGAGTCTTTGACTAACTATTTCACAATTTAAAAATATTTATTTATTTTAGGTAATGGGCAAGAATAAGGTAAAAGGCCTGAAACAGGCCAGTGTATTCCATATAGCCAACAAAAAAATACTGAAGGCTAAAAGTAAAGCAAAACCAGTGGCAACCAATCTAAAAAAGGTACGTACTACTGTAGATGATTCTTATGTGATACTTTAAAAAATGCCTGTACTGTACACAAATTGCAGAGTGTTGAAAAACCATAATATTTTGGCTATCTGGCTGTAGAAGCCTATGTGTATAATGCAGCTTACCCTGATGGGACGTTTCTTGTTAGGAATTCTGACAATTAGAATCTCATGCATCAAGAAGACTTCAGCTTTGGGAATGCTCCAGAAGTGAATGAAATACTTTCTCAATTCTTTCTTTAGAGTGGACCTTTATGTGTAGTTATAGCTTGATAAGATGTGGAACCCAATATAATAGGTGAGAAGAACCCACATTTTGTGTTGGGATTCTTTTGTAAAACAAATTGAAAATAGCATTGCCAACAGCTGTATACAAAACTATGCTATATTTATTTATTTATGCAATTTATAAGGCCATCCAACTCAACCAGCATTTAGAATATTGTGTTGCATTCTCATCACAACTGTGAAACGATACTGGAGAGTTGGAGAACATGCAGAGAAGATACAGAGAAAGGCAGCCTAAAAGATCAAAGGCTGGAGCACCACAGGAAATGAAATATTATAGCAGTTTGGCAATTTTAGCTTAGAAAAAAATGCAAAGGGAGACATGATAGAAATACAGTGGTACCTCGGGTCACGAACGCTTCTGTTCACGACCAATTCGGGTCATGAACAGCACCGTTTGCAAAATTTTGCTTCCGTTCACCAACGCTGGATCAGGTGACGAACAGGATCCGTGGCCATTTTCCCTCCCATGACACGTGGTCGTGGCTTCCTGTAGGGAGGGGGACTCTCCCTCC